AGAGAATGACCTGTGCATGTGTAAAGAGGGTACCGTTTGAGCAGATTTCGCAAAGAGGGTACCGATATAGATATGCACCGTGGTGTAGCTTTAGGACGAATGATTTCATAATATTAATTGATGAGTACATAAAAACAAAATGTACAAAAATGGTCCCAAGAAATGGTTATAAAATGAATATTGCATGTTTGGCTGAAGATGCCTCTTTAGTAGTTTTCTTTAATTATAGCGTTCATGATATTGGAAATGTATAGCAGATCTCACTCATTTAAAACAAAAAAGTTTTATACCTTAAGGCAATAGTATTTGCAATACAAACACCACTGAGAATGTAGAAAAAAAATGTTTATATATATCTTCTATGACAAACAATTCATTTGATTTTATAACCATTTCTTGGGACATTTTCTGTACATTTTGTTTTTATGTACTCATCAATTAATATTCTGAAATCATTCGTCCTAAAGCTAAACTCTCACAGATTGACAGACTAGACAGTTTTGCCTTTTTTTTTCTTTTTTTCTCAGAATCAGCTGATTTTGGCAGCAGTTCCGTCAGTTTTAAGTTGACACTGTGTACAAGAACCTGGGGCCGTATTCATAAAGCATCTTAGTGAATAGTTTCAACTTAGTGAAAAAGGACATTTTTTTGACAAGTTGAATTTAAAAAATCTAACTTGTGTACAAAATTTGTTTGAAAATAGGCAAGAAAATGTCCTAATTAATAGAAACACATTAAAAATGTTGTGGATGGTCACAGGTATTGGAAATAAGCCATGTCAAAATTTAAGAACTTTTCAAGAGGATGAAATATTTTAATAAGAAGTTTTTATGGCCAAAGCACTTTGAACAATGTTGAACAACTGTTCTATTTTATAATTATTTTGTTGATGAATAAAAAATAATTCTTAAACCATTGATTTGGAAATGTGCAACTTGTCATTGTCAGCTGGAAATATAATTTGACCTACAGAGTTTCATTAATGAATATAAAAATTGGTTAAATCGTTTTGTATATTTTCTCCATGAGTGCAAATGGAAATTTTAAAACAAAGGGACGTAACTTGGTAAAACTGAATCCGAACTGCAATACGGACTTTACCGAGAATATAACTGTAGCGCCACCTGTTAGCATAATTTGGGTGTCACATATTATTACACCAGATGTCGCGTTGTATTATGCTTGCTGCATCCGGCTTTCGGCTATGCGCATTCTACCTTATGACATTCGTCATTCAAGCTGAGTAAATAGACCCAAATACAAACAGTTGCAGGTTAATTTATTGAATTAATATACCAGATCAACAAATGAATAATAATTGATCGTTAAATAACGACATCAACATAAAATTAAGCAAGTCGCACACAGCAGAAAGCATAATGTGCATGTAAGAAAGCAACATGTAAAAGTCAGAATGCAAGATGTATATGTCAGAATGCATAATGTACAAGTTAGAAAGCACGATGTACAAGTTAGAAAGCACGATGTAACGTAAGAAAGCAAGATGTAATTTTGGCATAAATAAGCCTCCATATCTTTCCAAAAAAATATTACGTAACGTCAAACATTTCATGCGTCTTTTTTCACCATACATATTACGTAATTAAAGATAATTAAGTCGCTGATTCAGCAAACAAATATCCCTGACATGGTTTCCTCCGTAAATGAATTCCCTTTCATGTGCATTAAACCGCATGTTAATTGCTTGATTATTGAAAAAGTTATGCCGATTCAAAGTCCGATCAGCATCTAACGAAGTGTCATAAATCTGCTGTTCTCTCTCTGCCCCCTACGTTTCACGCTAGATAATTGCATAACACACAAATAACGCATCAAAGAGTGTCACAACCTGCGGCAACATACTCTAACAAAATTGTATGACCCATTGACATCTGACCAATTAAAAAGCTGCTGATTAATATCAGTTTATAGCTGAAATTTCTTTAAATCTTAACGTGATTTACTGTCCGTCTGGTATCTGTCGCACATGTCACGTGACTTTCGGTAAAAATTTGAGCCATTGGTGTGTGTGTGGGGGGTGGAACGCATTTGCGCACCGCTAGCAGGGAATTTAATTGTTTCACTTTTGAAGTTTATTTTTTTTTATCATCAGCATTATTATTATATTATACCAGTGTCACTCTGCCTGTGTATTCGTGTGTGAAATTCTGTTAAAATATAAATAAACTAACAAAAAACTGAGCTTCTGACAGTCTGTGGTAGATGTACAAACAAGAACGGGATATTAATTAATTTTTCACCAAATTGATATATTACTCGATCATTATGATCTGACCTTCTTGACTTCTATTATCATGAATATCGTCTATGCATGGCATAGAGATCCAGCTTCTTCTTGGATAAACAATAAATTTCATACTTTGTCCAAGGTTTATTAGTACAGTGTTCGATTTACTGGCGAACAATTTATTCAAAGCATTCACTGATAATATATTTTAATATTTCTTATTGATTCATAGAGAAATTATCATCCTTAGACAATCGTAAAAATGGTTTAGATTTGTCAGGGTTACCACAAGTCATATAGGCGTTCACATAAAAAATGTTGTCTGTTTTTTGTTGTTGTTTTACTTGACATTGTTAGAAAACGAGGTTGAATGTAAAGCAAGCCCTTGATTCCGTACAAAAGTCCGTAAACTCGATGTAATATCTATCAGATTAACGGGACAGACAAATTATTTTTACACATTATGGACATTTAAGCAACTACATTTTTAATCAAAAATGCGTCGTGCGATTTGCTTCTATGCTTTATTATTTATGTTACATACATTACGTTACGTACATAGGCCGATAATTTCTTAATTTATAAAAAAGGCTAAATAAAAGGTAGACGATATAATGTTGAGATATTCATAAAAGATGTACGGTATTTGTACGATACATGTATTACGAGTAGTATGGACCGGTAATTCACGGATATATGGAACCTTATTGATGCCTCAACAGGGGGCGGAGCGTTATCGATAATTGACAGGTTACACGAATAGCAGATTATAAATGGTATAGGTACCGTTTTAAAACGTTTAAAAACACATTTTTTGGACTAACTGCTTCCAAAATTAAATCACGAATGTGTTCAGAAAGGGTTGATAAATCTACTAAGCAAAAAATCTCATTTTAGGTATTTTCAGTGATAATTGACTCCGTTGTCACCTTAATGACTATTTTTTTCAGTATTTATAACAATATTTCTAGTATGGGTTGCAAGTGTCATTGATAATATGTTAATTCTTTCCTTTTGGTTTCTTCACTGTGACAATATTTTACTATTAACTTCATTTTCCTGATTTCAAAAATATATTGTGAATCTGGAGGCATGCTGCTTTAAGGATCATTGCAGGGGCGTTATTAGTCATGCCTTGCTGATTTGATACCAAAGAATGCCTACCCACTGGAATTAATATACTATTATATTTTAGTTGTTAACGAAATTTATGTGTACGTTATGTTCATCCTTATTTGTAGTGAAGAGAAATATCTTCTTTAACATATCTAACAAACAGAATATGAATATTATAATTATATTAATTTAAAAATATCACTATATATTTCATTGTATCTTATATGAAATATGCAGTGCACGTATGGTTTTATGACAACGCCTCTTTTGCCTTCACAAAAAGTATACATTCCAAAATCTGGAAACAAAGTGATCCCTCGGAAGCATTAATCACGACAAATTACATGAAAATTGCAGACTAGGTTTGATTGAGTCTGTATATGAGAGATAATGAATAAGTGCAACATTCATCACGGCCCTAGCACCGGCATGAGCGGTACTCAATTCTCAACACTTAATAGTGCTGGCATCGATGACCCCGAAGGACCAGAAAAATATAACAACACTGAAGTGAAGTACGGGACAACATTTTACAAAGAATTGTTACCTTTATGCATTAACATTTTTTAGAAACTACATTGACTTCTATCTAATTTATTGTTGTTGTTTTATTTGTTTAAGTATGAAGGGCTTGTAATATTTAAATCAAAGTCATATTTATTCAATCAGTATTTTGTAATTAAATATTACACCGTTTGTCGAAACTACGGAATACGTACATTTTTGAAACTCAAAGTAGCTATCAGGTGGGTATGAATTAGCAAGTTCGATTCAATTGCCTGGTAAAACACGGTGTGACATTTTTCATTATTTAGATTTGGGACATTGTTGTCCTAGTTTAGATGAAAACTTGAACTATAAATCACCGATTCGTACGAAAATTCTAATCAGGTATTGAGCTATGATCTAGTATTGAAGATACCTTGTGGTAAAGGATTTTATTCATTTGACCATCCTTTCATGAAATATCCAAGTAAATAATACAGAAATCCGGCATTTTCAATCTGCCCATCTTACAAGAGTAAATTTTAGATTATTCACTCAATCCCCTTTTAGGGAATAATCTTTGTAATTGTGAAAAAAATAACCAAAAACTTAAACGCTTTGTTATCATCTGCATTGCCCATTTCAAGAGCACCAGATGTTTAAGTAACTAATTTATGTTCTTATGCTTTCTGATATCAGTGGAGTTCGTTCTTTAAAGTGAGTTCAAATATTAATGCCTAAAAAGAAAGCATATGAGAAGTTATCTGTAAGCAATGCACACCATCATCTATATCACAGGAAGCAATATACATTAGCAAGGTATCAATACAAAAGTAGATCAAAATTTGTTTGTTTGTTTGTTTCATTTTACGCCTTTTTCCAACAGTATTTCAGTCATATAGGCGGGTAGTTTCCGATCCATCATTCCTGGAGAGTTACACCAGTACTAGACTACCTTCCTCCGCGCTAAACTACCAAAGCATCTCCCGGGGATCGAACCCACGCCAGAGAGGTAACTGGATTAGAAGCCATCGACTCTAACCCCTCGACCACGGAGGCGGTCTAAATATTGAATTTTTGAAACACCAGTTTTGGCCAGTGATAACGTGAACTCCCTAAACTTTAAAGTATCAAAGGATTACAAAAAGGCCAAGCTATCACATATTTAATAACAACACCACTGTCTTCAAAACTACATTACATATAGCCAAAAAGGTACACTGTCATTAACCTTGCATTCAAGGTCAAAATATTTTTAACTTGTGGAATTCAAACTTAAGCCTATTCTAAGTCATTGCAGCCATTAAGTGAAGTATTGAAACATAATTATTACCATAAAAACATTTCTTAGCTTAGAAAATGTAAAATAACCTTATAAAACAACCTCCAATCATTGAAGGTGACATGGATGATAATTTTGCATTGCTTATGTCATGTATATTCGGCAATCACAAATAATAACATCAAAAGTTTTAATATTAATTTAATATGGTTAATCGATGGATTGATCTTAATTCAGGTTGAAATACTTATATAAATATACAGTAAATGCACACATCACATATTTTTATAATAAAAGTAGATAAATGAATTTGTCTAAAAATACATTGCTGTATCACAGGTAATTCTTTAAAAACCAAGTCTTGCGTTTGAATTTATATTATAGATGTAAGGAAAATGGAACGATGCACACACTTACCTGTAAATGTGCAATAACCTCTTATCATCCAAATAAGCCCGAAGGCGTACTTTCAAAAACGCCTTACATACAAATTTGTCATAGCCATAGGCCAGACAGCAAGAACAATGAGCTAATTCTATATCATTCGTATCATTTATGAAATATTGTAAATAAACAAATTGAATGTAAATACGGAACCGTTTTTGCAATAGCAAATAAGTATGAGAAATGTTACAAACAACTCAGACTTTCAAATAGCTATTAAAGCTGAGGAAGCATAATATTTAAATATGTTCTGATTAACTTCCCTTGGAACAGGAAAGATATAAAAGTTAATATATACTCCTGGCGTATTTCAATAAAAGACAATAATATAAAAATATACACTTGTAAAACGTTTAAACGCACTGAAATCTGTTTGAATTGTAACCTCGCTATTGTTGATTTTTCGAAAGAGATTGTGCGATTATCTGAAGATTTGTATCAATGTTTTTTATGTCCTGGCGAACAGATTGTAAATCACATTTCATTTGTTGCATATCCCCATGCATGCTTTGAATCTGGTTATCTATATGAGACAAATTTGTTTCTGATTCAAAACTTTTTAAACAATGCACTTTCAATTCTTCCAAAATAGGAACTATTGGAGTGACGACCACTGTCCCGTACGTTGTGCCTCCTTCTACAATCCCTATACAACAATTGTTTTCAGCAAGAAACACAAGGGCTCCTGAATCGCCAAGATCAGCAAAAGCACGGTCATTTTGTTTAACTTCAATTTGCTTAAAAAGTTTTAGAACTTCATCTCCAAAAGAAAGTGGATAGTTATCGAGATATTTAACTGCGGTATTATCAAACATTAAAGTTCCATTACGGAACTCTGTTTTGGATCCAAATTTCATCACTTGATTCTTCTTATTCAGCCTGTCTGTGCTACATATACGCCAACTGTCGTACTTGATATTATTAACGCTTGATGCTGTAAAATAGTGGGAAAGATCTTTCAGGAAAGAACATTTCTACAGTTATAAATTTCACTGAAACTGTAAGCATATTATAAAGATCATATTTAATATCATTCTTAAATATTTTTTTAAAACTGACAGTAGTCAAACTTTATTTTACAGATCTATAAAATCGTACTTTAAATTATGTCACGTTAATATAACAACGTGCTTTCGATCTAAGAGCCCTCTTGTATATTTCATAAATATGACGTTAATATATTTTGATGTTTGTTATTTCGTGCGAAATATAGTCATATATATGATAAAAATCAAATTTAGTCCTATTTCTCAAAATGAAAATGTAAACAATCTTTTAAGGACGCATGGGTTTACAAATATGTGAAAAATGGTCGGTATCTATCTTGCTTTATTTCAAAAACATTAGAATGAATAAAACACTAGAATGAATAAAAACTAAAGGTACTCATTTAATTAGGATGTAAGACACAAGGCACAACTGCCACACAAGCCTTAATCGGATCATGGTTCTTCATATGACACCAGTACTGTTTGAGGTCAGGAAGCGGACACGAGTGTAATAAATATAAGTTACTTAGGAATCGTTTTGCAGGCAAGCTTAAGTAAATGTGTTTTATCTCATGTTAATATCACCTACAAAAATGTAAATACCCGAAATAATTGTCGCCTCTGGAAAATCTGCAGACTTTGGTCGTCTGTCTGTGATTTTGAACAAAGCCAGTTCCATTCCAGATTTTGTTCCAGAACCTGATTCGCAGATGAATTGAACGGTGTGTCCTATTGGAGATGAATTCTGATCAGCAGGCTGATAAACGTTTTTGTACATATCGTGCAAAGGCCACTTTAAGGAACCCCTATAAGTTGTTTTTAATTCCCGCAACTCATTTGGACTTAAAAGAACATGTCCACATGTTAATCCACAAACTCCAAATTGAGGATGGTCTATAAAACAGCCAAGGGTACCTCGGACATATTGACCATTATGGGAATCTCCTCCTATTTCACAACCCATCATTACAGGATCAAGCCTTTCTTTAGATGTACGTACAAAGGGAATAAAGGCCCCCTCTCTTACATCGACTGCAATGCCGTCATAATACTTTTTAAATGGGTCTTCATCAATTGGAATGTAATTCTTTTTCTGGACGTAAAGAACGATACACTTTTCAGGCAGCAGTTCCCATGAAGCGCCAAACCCTTTTGACCGATTTGAGGATGCAGATATAATTGACAAGAACTTGTGTTTTTTCATCAAAACTTCAGAGTATTTTGAAATGCAGCTTTGAAGTTTTTGATAGGACTTTTCCTCTAATCCTTCTAAAGCTGATGTCTGTTGCCTTAGTACCTCAGTGCCTTCTAAGCTAAATTCGCCGACGTATTGATTGGCAAATGAGTATGGAATCAATTTGTCTAAACCTAGAGGCTCTATATTAGTGTCACCTTCTGATTTGTAATTCACAATCACTACAAAAGTTATTCTATGCGGGTTTTGAATTGTATAAGCAGCCCAAACATATGCAATAGAGGCATGTTTTGATTTTATATGTTCACAAATTGCTTCGCATGTGATAGTTATCTCTTTGGATTTCCTCTCGTAAATCTGACACATCTCATCAAGTATCTTTTGGCTTGGAAGCTCCCCCGATTCAATTAATTTTCTTATTTCTTCTACACTCTTTGAACAGAGAAAGGGATCTAACACTACATCGTCATCACCTGCAAACATGTTAAAACGTATAGAGCGTGAATAACTCTAAGTATTATTAATAAGGAACGACATTTGATTAATTAATTTGAATGACAATTTATGTACTGTAAGGTTGATCACGTCTACAGAAAATTTATACACAGTCATGAAAAACTAAAGAGTAGATAGAGAGATGACAGTTTATTTTTAATACCGGTATGTACAAGTAAAAGACATTGCATTTTGAGGATCCTATTAGAACATAAAAAGACATTAATATCGTTTAACGCCATACCATTTATAATACGAGGTGAACGACGGGGGAGGAACTGAAGGATGGAGTTCTTATGATAACTGGTCACGAAGAATGATGATTTTTTTATCTTTACAGGAATTCGGTGACAGTTATCATAAAAGATCCTTACAAGTTATCATACGAACTCCGTCCTTCGTGTAACAATTCCTCCCCCGTGATGTACCCAGACTCCAACCGGACCAAATTGTCATTCTTGTTTTTCATGCATTGTGTCGCTATTATACAGTTTTTAAAAATCCGAAGAATATGTAATCCCTCGGAAGCAAATTCATAAGAAAATTACGTTAAAATAACAGACACGATTTGACTGATTCTGTACACGAGGGATAATAGAAAACTTCAATTTCCCTGTGACACATTAATTTGCGCTTTCAAAACATGCATTTATTCATAAATATAATATATTTGTTTATAGGGAAACTGTTTATCTCTGATGTTGGATTTGATAATTTATGCGGTTACGAAACTTTGGGTAAATATCTTTTGAACTTAATAATTTGAAACATAGCAACGATTTCTTTAAAATGAATCTCATCTCATACAGATGCCATTGTGATAGAATGTTACTCTACTTAATAACAATTCTATGCTACAAAAAGATGGGAATAAGTTATCTTATTTGTCTCTCTCTCTCTCTCTCTCTCCCTCTCTCCCTCCCCCTCTTTCTCTCTCTCTCTCTCTCTCTCTCTCTCTCTCTCAAACACTTGTTTAAAGTGGGAAAATAAAGAAATTGAGAAAAAATAATGTGATAAAATGAAAATAATATAAGTAAATAGCAGAAAAGAACAGTGCAGAACATATCGTTTATTAGATTTTAGATTTAAACATAGTTTATCATCTATACATGCATTATATTAAATACAAAGGTCAAATAAATAATAAAATTAATATGAATATAAATATTATTTACGTAAATGAAGGTATGTGTTGACAAGCAAATTAATTAACTCATTAAACAGTCGACAATTAATTTAAATATAGAGTTTATGATAAGTCATTTTGTCGTAGCATATTTTCTCGAATTTTAAGAGCACATTTGATGAATATCACTAAATTTGTTATTGTCTTGTGATTCACAGATCTTAGCAGTTCAATTAGCTTAAACGTACTTGGTCAGAGTGTAAAATAAATTAATGAATATATCGTTTCCTAATGACTCTGTACCTCGCACATTTAAGCATAAAGTGATATTCGTCCTCTATCTCGCCATTTTCACAAATTTCACACAGTCTATATTCCCTGTCTATTCTTTTATTTCCAGAACGCCCGGCTTCTATACGTAAACAGTGCGCAGATGTTCTCATTCTTGTTATGAAAAGTCTCAGTCTGTGATTTGTTCAACAAGTCGAAATAAGGTTCATATTCGAAATTCTCTTTAACATGTTTATATACCAATAATACAGGTTTGCTATTAAAGCAGCACGCCTCCAGATTCGTGTTAAGATTCATGAAAATGTATTTAGATGTATTTAAAAGTAAATTATTATGAAATTAACAAATAAAGCAATTTACATGTTGCAAACGGAACTTATAATCCAAGAAAATTACCGAAAAGTGGTCAACATATTCAAAGAGAGCCCTTACTGCGTTAGTAAGCAGTAGAAATATGGTGATAAAATACTGCAAAAGCAGTTAAACCACATATAACATTTTAAATATCACTTGGATCTTGAATGATTTTACTATTCTTAAAGTTTTAGTACATTTTTCTCAATATTGTTTTTTCTTGAACTCTTTTGGCTCATCTGGAGGCGTGCATCTTTAATATCACTTCTCCATTTCTGAAGGAAACAGTCAATCACTCTTTGTTTAAAATAGGGACTCAAACTTTTGTCGTCAATAATACTGTCCTGTATTTCCCAAAGATATCCATATCCATAGTTTTCTAATAAAACTTTTAACTTATATGCCCAGTTCTTTTTACCATGAATAGCATCATTTAACAGCTCCTTATAAACGTTTGTAATGATACAATTATTGGAATTTAAAACATTAATTCAGAACTTTGATATCTTTACAAAACGATTTATATAAAGCAGATGGCGCCCTAGCTCTCCATATACAGACACATTAGTTACTGACATTTTAACAGTAAGAAGTCTTTTACAAAACTTTAACTGCACTCGTTCAATTTCTTTAGCCTTTGAATTACCCCACTTCTGCTGCAGAACTTACTATGGATGTTACAAATGAATCAAACAGCTTACATTGAACTTTTAGAGTAAAATCAAATTCACGGATATTATAGTTTAACAAATTCATAACTTTCATTGCTTACCAATTAACAATTTTTGATTACAGTTACAATTACCATTTGAACCAAATACAGTTCCAAGATAATTAAATGTATCTACAATATCCAACGTTTCCCGTTATACTCCCATTTCTCATCGCCCCTCAACGCACCTCTACGTCTAAATACCATTATTTTTGTTTTCTCTTGATTAACCTTTAAACCCCAACTATCACAAAAAATTCATAGATTGTCTAAATGTGACTGCAAACCCTGCAATGTTTCAGACAGTAGAATCATATCATCAGCGTATAAAGCAATATAAGTGTCAAGTCTGCTATATTTACACTACTATCAACATTTGAACCTAAATACAATTCTAAATATTCGATGAAAATTGACCACAGCAGAGGCGAACATATCCATCCTTGCTTAAAATCAGATTATAACAGTATCTCCTGGTATGTCAACAATTTTTTCCCATATTTTGGCTGTGTGACCTTCTTTTTGACAACAGATAACCTATATTCAAACTTGCCCTAGAAATCATCAGAACAACCTTTCTGGCCAAATTCAAGGATATTTGAATGACAACATAGGCCTCTAGAAGGTTAACTACGTTATTCAACATTATTCTTGTGAGACCCAGTTTTTGACAAATATGGCCCATATTAATAAAAAGTAAACGAGAATAAAGATCAACAAGGCAAAGGCAACGTTCACAGGACGCAACCCCCTCCCCCGGACACACCAAAGTATGGCACCAAGAAGTTGACCTTAAAATCATCTATCAACAAAACAAAAAAAACCCTGCCTGACCAATTTTCAGGGTATTTGGAATGAAACAAAATCCATTAGAAAGTTATCAAGGTGTTTCAATATTTGGACAGTGTACTCTTTTTTTATCTAAGGTCGCCCATTTTTAGACTTGGCCTTTTAATCATTATCTGTCTGACCAATTTTCAGGAAACGTGGACTGGAACAATAGTTATAAGTGTGTAAACAAGGATTTTCCGTAATTGGACTGTGTGACCTAGTTTTTTACCACAGATGACACATAATCAATCCTGACCTAGAGATCACCAAAGCAACATTTCTGACCAGTTCCCATGATATTTAGATCAAAACAGAAGCCGCAAAAGTGTTGATAAGGATTTTCCATATTGGTGTTGTAGGCCCTTGCTTTTGACAACAGGATACTCATATTCTTACTTGACCTAGAAATTATTAAAACAACCTTTCTTACCAATTGTTAGGATATTTGAACCAAAACAGTAGCCTCTAGAGTTTTTAATAATGTTTTTACATATTTGCGCAGTGTGACCTAGCTTTTGATTTATTGTTATCCATATTCGAACTTGACCTAGAATCATCGCAAAAGCCTTTTTGATCACTTTCAATGATATGTGGATTCAAACAGTAGCCCCTAGAGTGTTAACAAGGTTTTGCCATATTTGGGCTGAGTGTGTGACTAATTTTTTGACACTAGCTGACCAATTTTTAAACTTGACTTAAAAAACATGTAAAAACAATTTTACTGACCAATATTCAAGAAATGTGGATAAAAACAATTACCACTAGCTAAAGAGTATTAACAAAAAATCTTTTTTCAGCTACTTTGACCAATTTTTTTGACCCGAGAAAAATAATCTGAAGACAAAGTGATCCCTCGAAAGCATTAATCACAACAAAACTACATGAACATTGCAGACTCGGTTGGATTGAGTCTGTACGTGAGGGCTAATGAATAAGTGCATCCCTAAAGCCCCCTAGCATAGGCTTGAGTTGTACTCAGTTCTTAACAGTTAAAAGTGCTGGCATAAATGATCTCAAAGGACAAGAAAAATATAAAAACACTGAAGTGAATTACGGGTTAACTTTTTACAGTTGCCACACGGTAATTGACATCTGCTGTTGTGTAGTATTCGAACTTGACCTATTGAGAACATAAACTGTGACTGCTTAAGTGTTAACAACCTAAAGGTTGACGACGCACTTCTCACGACGACGGACCCCTGTCATACATCGCTACCCCTGACCATTACCACTTCGACTTCGTGTTCAGGTGGGCTAAGGAGATATTTAAACAATATTGAGTTGAATACTGTTTTAAAGACTCGTACAACTTCAAAACATGTATCCGACTCAAATATAGGTTAAATAACTGCAGAGTCGTCCAAAAGGGTTCAGTATTGAGCCCAAAAATGTAAAATATCAATCGCGTACGTCGAAAAATTCTGTCAACGAATTTCATGTGATAAAAAGTCTCATATCCGTTATGATTATAAAATTTGTTGGCATAATGAACATATAATGCGAACAAAATATTGACATTTTATCAAGTTTTGCGACTTTTACCTTGTTTTATAAATTGACATAGATTACGACCTTAAGTCTCACAATTGTTATTCATTTTTCAATTGTTTCTAAATTCAAGACTATAAACGTTTCCATACACACACTTTCATATTTCTATCTGAAAAAATCCATAAACGCATTAGATATTTATGCTGTTCTTTCTATTTTTGTTCAAATCCTTTAAACTATTTGTTCGTTATTGATTATAAATGACACAATACCAAAACAATGACAATTCAAAGTATGATGACTTAACAAATAATTAAAAATGATCAAAAGCTATCCAGTTTATTCCATACAATGAATACTCTTACAATTTCTGCTACAAATAATTCTAATTTTAAAAACAATTAATATTTCTTTTTCATCCAACATTATTATTTCTGTTTCGCCTTATTCACAAGAAAAACGGATATACGATAAATGAAGCCTCGGTACTATTCATACTTAACAATATTTTTTTTATCAAATTTCAAAAGCCATGGGAAAAATGACTTCAAAAAAGAAGAACATTTTTTATCATTATCTATAACGTTCATAAAATCATTAACGCGTATGCAACTTTTAGAATTTCCAATGTGCACGTGATGTTTATTGTATTTTGAAATGAATATTATCTTAAATTCCCATTTATAAAATACAGTAAATACATAAAGTTTATATACTTACGACTTGTCCTGCTTTCAATTTGGCTTGGTTCATGTATGTCTGTAAATATAGATTTTAAGTGTACAATATGTTTCTGGCATGATTTTGCTTTTGTTAAAGCTTTATCATAAGCAATAGAATTTTCAATTTTAAAAATAATCAAAATTTTATCCTGTGTCATTGTCTTGATTCAAGTTTATCAAAAATTCAAGATTAAGAAGCATTTCCCCAGCCAATTCTCAACCGTTGTGAAATCAAAGTGTTTATGTCATCTATAATTAATTTTACGGATATTGAACATTTATGAACAGTGTTATTAACATATTTTGATTATCTTTCCTACATTTTCTATTAGATTTTGATTTGAAACTTGTAAAATATATCTTTTAAAACACATATTCACAAAAATAGTTTTATGAAAAATATATTTTGCCAATTCCGTATCCGGAGATAAGGAAACCATCGTAATGCATCATTTTTGTCTTTTGTGAGTATTTGTTGTAGGCTACAAATACTGTCAACTGCACTGAAACAAAATGGTTAGGTTCCAATATTCAAGCTTTAGTTTAGAAAGGTGGCCAACTTTGCTGAAATTCTATTCTACTGATCCTGATGCGACGTTGTCTCTTTCATAAATAGGAAAATTCAGAATGTAGAATGTAATTGATATCGGTGGAAGGAATTAAACTAATATATTCACACAATTTAAATCAATTGAAGTGTTGCTTGTATTATAGTTTGGTCCAGTAAATAAATCTGATATGTACTCGACAAATATCAATATAATTATGCCGAAGAAAAATCACTTCAAACTTGTCCGGGGAGTCGAATAATACGTCATCCAGTATAAAGAGAGCTAGCAATGCATGAGATTTGAAACACCAACAAACACCCGGTATCTTGTGAGAAATAGTAAGTCTGACAATAAAAAAATGGTTGTATGCCACTATTACAATTGTCCCACTTTAAAAAAAAAAAAAAAAAAAAAAAAAAAACGTTGAGTTTCAACCAATTTACAATAGAAACAATTACAGTTGCCTTACAATAAGAGATAATAACCGTACAAAAACAGTTGATGAAAATTTAGAACGTATAAGAACTGGAGATTTTATGCTCGAAAATTTACCAAAAATGTTTATAAATTTGTAAAGTAATAATTGAGACGAATAAATAATGATTTAAAGAAGACAACGCAGAAATTTACTAACAAATATATATATTTTAGAAAAGCTACAAAACACAAACTATGAGTGGTTTAAATTTAATGTGAGCGATATAGATTTTATTTCATGCACATAACATAATTATGATGGTAATTTCAGACGAAGCTTGATAGCAAACAAACTCTTATGAACGTAAAATGGTTGACTTAACATTGATTGAATCTGTCGAATAAATAAATGCATTAATTTACTTGTGGTAGGAAAATTGTGTTTTAATGTTCAATGATTTGTTGATATACCCTTGTCAATAAATTTAACTTATTTATGTTTAGTATTTAAAAATGTGATCATTACTTTTAATCATTAAATGCTTTTCTAATAAATACATGTTTTCTTATTATTGTTTCGCGCAAATGATCTGTCGTTATCTTCTGGTCAATTAAGACCTCAGATTTTATAATGATAAGCGCAATTGTGCTTAAACAATCGCACCAACAATTAACTATCAGAAAATGTGTTTCATTTATAAAATTTTGAAACTGATACCCTAATACACTGAATATATCATATGGCATACATGACCCATTCTATTTACTAATATTTTTATTTAATTCTCTGCTTTTATAAAAATTGAACTTATCTCGGAAAACAATTATATAAAAATATAAAAAAATATAAAAAATGAGTGTTTTATAAAGACAAATTGCACACAGGCAAGCAAGGCGATGACTTATGCCGGGTTCTTTTTATTCAAGTGAACTACTAATTTCAACCCTAGAAGTATTTTAAACTTGTTTCATGTCATTCTATATTGCAAATACACAACTGTGGATCATGAATTTAATATAAAAGATGATTGTGCTTCTGTCTAAAAAGATAACATGACAAAGTATTCATACAAACAAATACAAAATTCAAAAGAATAGAAGTGAAAAATAATGCAAGGGTGTTAGTTGTGTCGGGTATCATTGTTACGAATGATATTCCAGAAGCATTCAAAACCATTTTTTCTGTGAGTATTCTGTTTATAAATTCCCAGTTGTTATCTCTGTAAGTAATTGTACGACAATACAATACATAAACTAGATCTATATAATATAAAGAGAACATCAATTCAAAATTCTTATGATTTTTAGTAAAATATAACAAATAGGTCATTCTTCGATCTATTAAGAATGAAAAAAGGTTACGTGACTTCGACTGATAACCATAAACTTGCGATTACACGTTCTATCTTATTCAGCATACACATTCTTTACTTAGTCTTATATACATGTATCTTTATTTTAAGCTTCCTGTACTTATACAATGTGGTAACAACACGTTCATCCTCGTAGGGAGACAAACGATATCTTCAAATGTCAAGCCTGGTCCGGTCAACTGTCTGGGGACCCATCTAGCGGAAACCTTTGACATGCCATATACATCAGTCAGAATTTACTGAATGAAACCAAAGCTTATATACTCGTTCCTAACAATGCTTCGCAGGTCTCGCCTTCTGTCGCGTATGACCAGGTCGCGCACAGTTTCATCGTTGGTGGCCTCTTTCGGCCGCACAGGCCGCTCAGCATCTCCAATTATTTTCCTGCCTCTCTTGAATTCAGCAGCCCATTTTTCACATTGATATAGGAAGGGGACTCCTTTCCAAGTGTATCCATGAAGTCTTCATTGATTTCCTTTGGGGACATCCCTTTCTTACGGAGATACTAAATGACGGCATTGATTTAAACTTTGTCCATTTGGTCTTAATGAAACAGCCCTCTACCGATCAAAGTGTGTTTTAGATTACTCAATCTGTGTAAAACGGCGTGTAACTCAGTTAGTGATCTTCAATAAGATATCGGTATCGGCGCATCCTGTGTAAATGTCAGTGTAGTTGCAAGAAGTATATCGGGCCGAAAACTTTTTTATCATACCTCGTATAAGTGTCTCAATTCGCATTGTAATGTCTATTCATCTGGTTTCTGGATAATATCCAACGGATACACTTTGACAATCGTTGTGGATGTACGTATCCTCGTGGCCATCGAAAACCCGTCATTTCCTCTAAAAGCTCATCAACTACCGCAAGTTTCCACTGTAGTGTAAAATTTCTTGGACAATAACAATGTCAACAACTTTAGTTATCTGGTTTGTGATACCAACACGTAAATAGGTAACTGGTCGTCGCTCATAATTGTCTCTACTTCCGTAACTATTACCTGCAGCGTTGGTAAATTAATGGAGGCTTTGCCAAGAATTTTCTCTATCGCTGTTTTCATAACACCAATTAGTCACTTCAACACACTACCATATCCACGTGCTCTTTTTATTGAACTGCCACTGAGTTCTTTTTTGTGTAAAAGCAGTCTGGAGATAAAGAGAACTGTTCAATCGCCGGTTTTCATTGGATGCAGCATGAAAGGTGGTACCATTATCAGATATCATCAGTCTTGGTAATGATCTTCTGCTAAACAACCGTCTGAAGGCTAACATAAAAGATTCTTCTGTAAGGTCTGGAACTGTTTCTATGTGAACAACACGGGTTTTGACACATGTGAATAGTCACATGAATACCTTCTACTGAACTTGCTTTTCTTTAATGTTAAGTGATCCTGTGAAATCGACACATGACGGAGAAGGGTGGCTCGACGCTTACTCTGGAAATCGGAAGTGGTAGGGGATCTTGGGCGGTATAGGGTCTTCCTGTAACCTTTCTACAAATAACACATCTTTGGAGGACACGTTTCACGTGCTGTCTAATTGACGGTATCCAGAACTTCTGGCATAGATGGGTAACATTATGGACGACACCTGCATGTAAATGGTTGTAATCAATCTGGTGACATGATATTTTGGGGGACTCATTTTGTCTCTGGCAACTGTGCGTTGTGTATTCTTCCAACACAACAAATATAACCTTATTTTTCATAAAAAAGTTTTAGCCTCCTAATTATTAGACTTTTTATTAATTGTTTTTTTCTGGGATGCTAGATCTTGTATTACATGTGGGAAATATATATCAACGTAGTGAAAGTGATTGCACTAATTTGTTCCAAAGTCGGCCATATATTGTTGTGAATAAACAAAGTAGGCCAATTTTACCATAATGTTCTTGTAACTTGGTCGCAGTAAGACGTCTGGGTTGTAAATCATCGGAATTTGTATCTGTTGGACAATATCGCCAATCAATATCGGGGGCAAGTTTCTTGATTTCTTCTTCTCTGTAATGAAGCGTTTTAGAGTCTTTGAAGATTTAAGCCAACTTAATACTTTTTAAATGTAATTTTCTTGCACGTGACTGCACGTTCTGGGTGACACGTGCACCGATGAATACTGCCATCAGTTTTAGTCTGGAAAAAATTATCTCTTTGACATGTGCGACTTTGTTCTTTGAAAATACAAGGGTATATGTATGACCGTAAGTAAGATAATCTACAGTTCCATAAGCACGTGCACTTGCATTGACAAACATGTGTCAATCCATATCGGCAGAATTTACTGTATTTTCAGTGGTGGGTAAATATGGTCTCTGGAACATGGCCTGAATTACGCTGTTCAGGTCATTGCTCAAATCAACCCAGGTGTTGATGACATCAATCGGTAGTGGTGTATCTCAATCAAATTTCTACTTCCATAGGGCTTGAACTAGTAATATGGCAAGAACAGTTACTGGGCTTAGCAATCCCAGGGGGACATATAATTTTGAAGTCTGTTTGAGAATAGAACTTTTTATTGTTCTCTCAGAGTGTACTATCGTGTGCTGTATCTCGTCATCTCGTCAACACCATGGTCTCATAACATTCCTAATACCTTGCCAACTTTATCCTTGTCTAAGAGGGTTTTTTCAGTTAGTTCGAGTTCACTTAGTTAACCGGAGTGTGAAGACCACGATCGAATCCTGCTTCAGACAGGAGAGCACGTGCGTACCGGAAATAGGAAAGAAGATCATGTTCTTGTTGAAAACTTGAAATCACATTATCGAAACATAGGTCTCTGGTAATTATTACAGCGGCAGTGTTATTTGCTTTCAGGGCCATGTGTTTTAGTAATGAAGCCTTGAGAATAAATAGGGAACATGTGGATCAAAAACGGATAACTCGAAATCTATATATCACAAGCTGGCTCTTGGGATCTGCAGGGTCTGATAACCATAGAAATCTGGTTAGTCAGTTGATACTGCATATTTACCAAATCAAATTTAAGCAGAAAGGTTGTGAGATGATTCAGTTCTGGCGATGCAGATTCAAGGCAGTCTTTTAAACTTGGACTTCTTTCTGATTGACGGCAACTACAGTCATAGACTATTCGTATGGGCGGGCGTTGTTGTGGAATCTTTCTCAACTCCATGATGGGGTATATAATGCACGCGTTTTGCTGTGGAAGTTTCATCTACTCATTCACTGAAACCTCTATTTTCTTGTTCCTGTATAATATCGTGATATTTCATCAGTATTTGGGGCTGCTGACTTAGGCGTTAAATTGTACACTCTGTTCTTTTCTTTGTGATATCAGGGAGATGTAGATGGCTAGATGGTTTTCATGGCAAAATCGCTGTGATAATAAAATACATGATTTCTGGTAATGTTGTAGATGAGAAGAGTCATCGTTATCTTTAAAGACTCTTTTTGAAACACCCTTAGATTCTATATCCCAATATCGAGTAAGGTGTGTCGTTTCAGATACATGGGTTGTTATGACGTCCATAACATCGGAAGGTGGATAACTACTCTCCACATGAAGTTGGCCGGACAAGAAGTAAGCAATGTCAGAGTTTACAGCAGTCGGTCCATAACCTCTAATAATGTTGTCGCCAACTATCTGACAGTAAAATCAGGGCCAACTAAGAGTGGTATATCAAATGTGGTATTTATGGTAACAGGGTGTGTACTTACCAAGACCAATGCACTTTTAAAGTTTTAAAGCTGAGACATATTGATTGTTGAATTATATATTGTACGGACACTTAATTGTCTTATAATGTCAATGTTGTTCTTTTCTATCTTTTAGGCTATTTGAACGTTAGTGACTTTAAATGATATAATAGCAAACAAATGACTATTCAAAGTATGATGACTAAACACATTATAAAAATGATAAAACTTCATCCAGTTCATTCCATTCTTAGAACTTATGCTAAAAACTTTTCTAATTTTTAAAGCATTTTGTATCCTTTTTCATTCAAGAAAACATTAATGTTTTAATTTATTTACAATTCATTAACGTGTATGTATCTATTTGAATTTCCTATGTACACGTGAAGTTTGTATTTTAAAATGATGTTACTTTATCTTATATTCTCATTACTATCAATACAGTAAAAAAGCATAATGTTTATATACTTTCCACTCGTCCTGCTTTTACCTGGGCTAGCTTTATGAATGTCTGTAAATATAGATTTTAATTGTACAAGATATTTTGGCATGATCTCGCATTTCTTAAACCTTTGATCATAAGCAATAAAATGTTCGATTGTAAAACTTAATCCAAATTTTTTCATGTGTTATTGTCTTGATTCAAGTTTATCAAACTATATTTATCAAAGAAGCATTTTCCTAGTATTTTCCACTTTGTAGAACTGTGGTCAGTCTTTAGAAAATTCTCAACCGTTATAAAATCAAAGCGGTTATGCCATCTATAATTATACGGATATTGAATAATTATCAACAATGTAATAAAAAATATTTCAACTACCTTTCCGACATTTTCACTTTGGATTTTTAATTGAAATTGGTAATCTTTTAAAACACACATGCACAATAATATGTTTGTAAAAGCAACATTTATTACCCGCTTAAATCTATTTTTAAATTATTATGATGATTTATAAATTTTCTCAATTTTTCAAATGCATCTGAATACAATGTTATTTCATGTTAATGTAGTCCATCTCGTTAACACGAAACAAAAAAGTTTCCGAAAGTTTTAGGTGAACATCTTTGACACTTAATCAGCCAAAGTCATGATTCTTTCTACCGGTTGTGCGTGAGACACAGATCCGCAGCAGCTCATATATTAAAATTTAATGTTAAAACCGTTATCCATTGCTTTGTATATGAGTAATATGTCAAAGTAAAATTATTATACAATAACTGTAATATCTATTTTATATTTTTTTACATATTTCTTTAATATTGTTTTCTTTTTATTTTTATTTTTTTTGTTTTACGTGCTATTTTAATGTTGAGTTTTTACGTTTAATACTTTTTTTAATTGTAAAATAATTTTAAGACTTCAATTGTCATATTGATTGACGATTATAAGTCAATAATTAACTGGAAAAAGTCAGTAAATTGTGATTAATCTTTCAATATACTATATTGTTTATTCTTAAACCATGTACATGTGTATATATTTCTTCATCATTTTTTTAAATTATCAATAAATTTTATTTATTAATTCAAATTTGTAACTTAGAATAATTCCTAAGCATCTTTACTAAACTAGAATAAGAAATTAAATGAAATGTTTTAAAGATGAGTGTGTCATATTAATACCATAAAAATTCGCCGGTCTCTAGTAAATGCCGGTCAATATGGACCGGAAGAGACCGTGAATTAACGATAGCAGATCGGCGAATAGTACACCCATCTATAAATAGATATTCGGAAGGTCATCACTCTATTTAAAACTTTTGTACTACAAAATGATTAATAAAAAAAACGTAGAGCGCGAGTAATAGACAGGGATTAATTGACGGAAGATTATTTCATTTGAATATGTTTGCATTGCGAAATTCTCCAGTTCGCTTTTCATTTTTAATAATCAAAACACCCTCCAATCGGAACGATCGGCTATTATGACCGACTAAAAGGCCCGAGAAGCTGCAATTGGCCTGTCTCGAAATCTGATTTCATTCCATAAGAGGCGCCGCACTTCGGCGCGGACGCCAAACAACTTTTTTACGCATGCGTGGCAGCCTTTTTATATATTTTGAATGCGATTTTTCTTATATAGCAACCAAGTAATCCCTCGGAGGCATTCAAAACAGCTTAATTACATAAAAACTGCAGACTCGGTTTGATTGAGTCTGTACGTAAGGGATAATATCATGCAAGCATTTAACAATCGGGAATAATCCCTTAAATCATTTCAAACAGCTTTTGTTATTGATATAAACGCTTGAAAGTCCATATTACAATTTGCTTTTCTTAAATTATAAAAACTCAATAGAAATTATGTTTAAGTATTTTTAAGGCATGTAGCAGAAACAGGTGTCAATTTAAAGTTATTGTTCTTATATTTAAGGTCTGTATGATAAAATAATAAAAACGTCAATGCTTTTTTTTATAATTGTTTCTTTGAAAAAATATTTCACGTAAACAGATGCAAGTATGATAAAATGTTAATCTTCTTACTCATTGTTAAGAATACACTTACACTTTTACACTTCAATTCAAGCTTTTGTTCTTTGATTTCTTAGTCACTAAATTTTAACTCAATAATTATGGACCTATTAATATTTAAAATGTAACAATTATTTATTTGAAATAAGTTTTAACTAATACAATGCCAGTGTGTTTAAATGTTTATCGCCTAAGTCATTGTTACTTATCGGAGAAAAACTACCTCAATCAGAAAGATCAATGGATTAGAATGTGTAGAAAACAAACAGGTTTGAAAGCATATGTATAAGAGATGACGATTTGCCAGCGAGCTGTTAAGTTGACGTCGGCAAAATAAAATGCGTGTATGTGCCTGTTGGTTTACTGTGTATGGTGTTTTTATTGCCGCAATAAGTCAGTTTTATGGGGGAAAATCTTGAAATATTCTGCATTGAATTGTATTTTAATAAAAGTGATTGACCTTTTATGATGAAGAAATTAATGATATGAGTTTCCTTTTGCGAAATAATCTTCTAAATTGGAACATTATTGGAATAATACTTTTTTTCTTATTTCTAAACTCAAACTACCCTTAAGTTATATTAAAATGAAATATACTGCTTGCTTTTTCTAATCTCTTGTGTATGAAATTGAACTTTTCATATTTGATAAAATTTCAGGCATTTAAAACGCGGTTCAACAAATATAGTGTATGGATTATCGAGTGGTCCCGCCCGTGAAGCAACCTTCTGAACACAATGCTGATTTCCGATTACCTTTACTTTGAAGGACACGTCAAGAACGTTTTGACTTACTGATAAACAAATTATGCATGCATGCATAAGATAATATTCATCCCAATGTTTACTTGTGACGTGTGATGAAGTCGAAAATTATTCATTTACCTATAAAACTATGAATTTTTTATAAATAAAAGACCTTTATCTTGAAGCCAGTTGTTCTAAGCTTCAATCAAAGGACGACCTAATGTATGTTTCTTGTAAATATGAGGAGGTGGTAAAAATCCAAAGGTTTAAGCGTGTACAAAAATTAACTGTTAGCACAAATGACCTTGACCTTGTGACTCCAAAAACGGGTCTATCTAAGGTATGCTTCTTTGAAAAAACATAAGTCTGTAAATAAAGGTAAATACATAGACATATTGTGATAAATACCGCAAAATCATTCCTTATATCATGTAAATTATTACTTAAAGTTTTGGTTTTACTTATGAAATTTTTATTGATATTACAAAAGGAACTTGTGATTATTAGTAAAGAATTGCTGCACTCCATGGACCTTCTGCTCTGCTTAGACTTGCTGCAGTATTGGACTGTCTACGGTCCTTGAAATTGCTGCAGTATTGGACTATCTACGGTCCTTGGAATTGCTGCAGTAATGGACTTGCTGCACTAATGGACTTGCTGCACTATTGGACTTGCTGCACTATTTGACTTGCTACTGCAATATTGGACTATCTACGGTCCTTGGACTTGCTGCAGTTATGGACTTGCTGCTCTAATGGACTTGCTGCACTATTGGACTTGCTGCACTATTGGCCTTGCTGCAGTAATTGACTTGCTGCACTATTGAACTTGCTGCTCTTTTATCATTGCTTCACTTTTGAACTAGCTGCGCTCTTTAGACTTGCTGGACTCCTTAGACTTGCTTCTTTTCTGGGAAGTAAAACTTTCTAAGACTTGCCTTTTTGGGCAAGCATACCTTTCTAGACTTGCTTTTTTTCTAGAAAGCGGATCTCTCTAAGATTGGCTTCTTTTCTTCGGGTCGTTCTCAGACTTGCTTCTTTTCTGTGAAGATGACCGTCGCTAAGCTTTAACTTTTCACTAGTAAATCGACCGTTTTCTAGGCTTGCTGCTTTGTTTGGTTTCTTCTTTGGACCTGTGAGTTGCACACCAACAAGTTAACTTGCTGAAAATAAGCTTTCTGACAATATTTGAAGCTTCTTTCGAAATCACTTTTTTCTTCCTTTTTTCATTTCAATTTCCTTTCATATAAATACACAATGTGCGACCCGGATAGAACGCCACAATAGTTACGTCACGTCAAAACCCCCAAAAAAATTATACAGAATGTCAAACATTTGTGTTTTATTTGTATTTATAAAATGGCCTCTTCTAAAGGAAATATTGAATATTTCCATCAAATGTCAAAATGGCATTCTTTTTTATTCTTGTTCTGGATACTGTCTGCCTAGGTAATCTGCAAATATGTTTTTCTGAACTGGTAACATCGAAGAAATGAGGCCCATCTCACTAATCTACCGTTATCTGGTGTACTTTACTGGATGCACGACGATGGACAATGAACTTTGGTCCGCTTGTATGATTAACTCCTTCCCATACAAGTATTTTTGGAACTTCTTTATTATATATACGATTGCTAAGGACTCTATTTCTCCAAAAGAATAATTCCTCACACGATCAAGTAACTACTTGCTTGCAAAGGCAACAGGAAACAACTTTCTCTCGTATCTCTAAAGTAACTTTTCCTGCTCATCTCCCAATCGTACATTGTTTGGTAGGCCTTTTTTCTTTAAGTCTGTATGTGGTGCCGCAATCTCCGCAAATCTCATGTAATACTTGGCGAGTCCGAAGAATGCTCTATCTTTTAGTCTTTGGAACTTCTGCTTCTTTGATTTTTGTAAGTTTTTCTCCTTCCATTTGAACAATGTCATTTTCCACTAAATGTCCTGTAAAGCCAATGTTGTTTTATCCTATATAATACTTCGATGGTTTTATTGTCAGCTCTACTTCTGCCTGTCTTCGGAAGAGCTCACGCAACATTGTCATATGTTTTGTGCAAATTGTTGTGTGCCCTTTTATATCGTCAACATAGTTGTCAACAAAATAACATCCTGGCAATAACTTCGGCATTATTTTGTTGAATTTGGCTTGAGAGAACGGCATTTTATTCAATTGATAACTCTTTCCGTTGAAAATGTTCTTTATATGCGACAATTTTCAGCAACTTGGATTTGTCAATAAACTATGCACAGGACGATCTTGGAAAAATACATAGCATATTTCAGCTTTACCATGATGTCATCTACGCTTGCCATTGGTTGGATGTCAAATTAGGCGATGGAATTAAGGTTTTCTAAAATCAATATACAATCAATTACTTCCATCTTTTTTTTAGGATGATGACTATCGGTGCATTGTATTCTGACAAAGATCGTTCAATCAATTCGACTTTTAACATGCTTTGTATTTCAATTATCACATCTTCCCTCTTGACTCATGGTTTACGATACTGCTTTACTCTTATTATTACTCTTTTCTAGTATCAGAAACATTATATCCCTGCTGATGGCTTGTCTGTTAATCCAACGTGTTGGTCTATCAGTGGAGTTGTTCCTGGTCGCTTTGAAAATAATTCGCTAAACTCTTTCAGTATATAAACGACTTGATTAGTCTGTTATGTAGTAAGTCCTTCGCTGATGTTGACATAATTACTCAACAAATTTGCTGCAAAGTGACTTAGCAAAACTTTAGGAGGAAATTTTGTATTATCACAGATGAACAGCAGCTGCTAAGTGACCAATGCAAATTCCTCGGTGTTGTCCATTTTGTTCGTGTTGTTATTGCTTGGGTGGACTTTACAAATATTGAAAGGAATACTCATTCAAGATACCGTCAAGACTTGAAATTGTATTAATTAAATCTTAACTAGCACATCAATTTATAATTAAAAAGTAAATATTCTAAGATCACTTACGAGGATTATATATGTTGGCTGCATCTTCATCTGTGTAAATGAAATCCTCTACGCACCCTATAAAACACATTAAACATGTAGTTAAATGTCACAAATGTCTGTTAAATACAAGATACTTCTTATACAGTTCAACTGATGCATGTTCTTTAATGTAATGCTTAATTTGGTAGAGCATCACTGAACTTAAAGTTAAAAAGAAAGGTTGTATTTTCAGGGGTGGTCAGAAAAGATGAAGACTTTTGGTGGAACTGTCACTTCTATATTAGAGGACAATCAAACTTTAGCGGGTTGTATTTATGGTAAAATCAAGTTAGCATGTTGACAATAATTTCATTATATGTATGATTTTCGAATTTATGGGACAATATATAAGACGGAGATATAAGACGTTCAATATGTTTGTTTTGTTGTCGCTTGAGTAAATTTTATATCGGTATAAAAGCAATGTTTAGACTTTAGTCTTTTTTTCAGACATTTTACTTTAAGTTAGTAAAACTAAACTACCGAATAACAAGATATTAATATTAATTCTGTTCCTACTTAGCTGTAGTAAATGACAAGAAATTTTCATAAAAATCAAATTCTTCTTTCAAATCAACCATATTTTCTCATATAACAACAGTATAAATGATCCAGGCAACAGAACCAAAGAAATTGACATTTCGAAGGGAAGTCGAAAGGTCTCGTTTAATCATTGATCGGACTTGCAAAACTTAAGGGGGGCTATTTGTATTATCACAGATTAACAGCAACTGCTTAGTGACCAATGCAAACTCCTTGCTGATGTCTATTATGTTCGTATTGTTGTTGCTTGGGTGGACTTTATACAGATATGAGAGGAATACTCAAATCCATTTCTATACATGCTAAGATAAAGTAAATGTCAAGAAAGTAAACATAAAAATTCCAAATTCTTCCTTGAAAACAACCATGTTTCCTCATATAGCACCAGTATATATGATCAAGGCAACGGAACCAAATAATTAACATTTCGAAAGTAAGTCAAAGACTCGTTAAACCATCGATCTGAATTAAATTTTATACAAAATACAACGACAGCGTCAGCAAATTAATAAAACAAATGCTCACACTTAATCCTGATATCATTATTGAAAAGTTAGAATTTTTAGATCAATTACGAGGTTTGAATATTTCGACTGCATCTTCAGCTATCTATCTGATCTACAGACGCCCTAAAATATATATTTAACATGTTGTTAAACGGTAAAATTGCCTGTTAAATACACAAAACCTTCTTGCATAGTTCAACTTTTATATTTAAAATTGTTTTGCTTAAATGTTTAAACATAATTTACCTTATTTTAGTAGGCATGTGTTTTAGGGATGATCAGAAAATATGATATGAAAACTTTTGCTTGAACTGTATTTTCTGTATTTGATGTGAGAGGGCTTACAAACTATGAGGGTTGTATTTATCGGTATATTGCTTTGGCTGGGTTGACGTCGCGCCAACAAAGTAGAGTTTACATGGCGATTTCCCAGCTTTACTGGTGGAGGAAAACTTTAGGTGTTTCTCTGTGGATAATCTAAAAATCCTGTATGCTGTAATAAAGGTTGTTAACGCACTGAAGTAAAATTTTATATATGTATATAATTATGTTTTTAAAACAATGTTTAAACATCGAAGAATATGTAAAATATGTGCAGCAAATGTTTGTATGTAATTATTAAAATGTATGCATTCATTTGTTATTGAAAGATTTTATTTCAATAGACTTAAAAAAATGAATTTCTTATAATCTCCCTTTATTAACATGAAATGTTAATTCGGTAATACCTATACCTCGTACAAATGATGATGCTTTTTGGAACTTAGAATATTGATACATTATATCTATGATATAAATTCATTAAAAAAGATGAGTTACAGGATTTTTAAGGCACAACAGGCTCCTGAATAGAAGCACCAATATTGCATAAGTTGGCTAGATAGCTTTCTCGCATGTATAAAATGTCCAAAGTCCTGGGCGGGATTCGAAACTACAGTGGTGAGGGGTAGGTTTATATAAGTCAACGACCTTTGTGTGATGTCATAACTCATCAACAACGCACTGAAAATTGCTGCATTTTATGTACGATTGCGGACACTAAACGACTGTGTTCATGACAACGTGATTAATACGCTGGATCAGCTCAATATCTTTATATATGAGGCTGCATTCAATTATAATTAAAGTGACATTATTTATACTTGACCATATTTACAAGTACTACACTAAAATAAGAACTGTAAAAAGAAATTTTCTGATACTACAAAAATATATTTCATTTTATACATTTTCGTATGCTCCAAATGTGAAATGAATTCAAATGTAGTAAATAATATCTAATTGTATGTGGATTAACCTGAACATTAAGAACTGTCATGTTTTATGATGGTTCTACCTTAATTTAAAACTGTTTAGGTTACATTTAAGGTATGGCCACACAAATGGGCACTACAAGGAACTGAAAATTGTTATGTTCTTTAAGAAAAACTTATCTGAGTCTTATCATGTGAAACCTCAATGCCAATAGCTTAGATATATGACATAAAGTCACCCTGAGAGTCATTTAATGTATATAGATGTATACAAAAAATTAAGTCTTATATGAAAGAACAAAGCCCAGAGCTTAGATATTTGGTATATAGCATATGTTATGCATATTTCTATCAATGGTTAACTATGACAATCAGTGAAAAATATTGGTCCTGCCTCAGGAGTCACTTACTTATTGTAGACTTAGGTATAGGAAAACACTTCTTATCTTTTGTGGTTAATAATAAGTTTGTTTACTTGGCATATAGCAAACATCAAGCACAGTTAAATAAATCATGCATCTGTAACAATATGCCTTTAAAGTTACAACTGATATTGTTGTTATTGTTGTTATTGGTTTATTTAGATTCTACTGATTTTTTCTCTAGAAGATATATTGATAAATTTCTTGACTATAGGAACGCCTCCTTACTAGTGATTGGTTAATTGATTTCTGCGTTGATATTATCGATATACAATTCTCCTTTCGGAGAGAAGCGATAGAGAGATGGATTAGAAAAGATCATACAAATAAATGACCTGGGTTTTTGTCGTAGTTATGGAAATAAACTTAGAAATTACTTTGTAGTTGTTGTTTAACTCCCATCCTGTTACATGGGGGTTAATTTTGGTGCCGTGCGAAGGATTTTTCAAAAATGGACAGGAATAAATTCCTTTTTTAGTGTGTTTCAAATTTTGAATACACGTGCCAATGAAAACACATTGTATGTTTGCATAAACAGTACGTCTGCAAAGATGTGCGAAAGAGAAGCCAGTCACTACCTTGAAATTTTCCAAGAAGCTTCATATTTGTGGTGAGTAACTTTGAGTATTTTTTTCTGAATTGCTATGGCTGAACGGGAAGAAACGGCAGATCTGTTTAGGCAAATGGGACAGCAAATTTCTGGTTAATCCACTACCGTAGGAGCCCAGTGGGTGGCTAAGGCGGTCCCGTCCTTTGAAGGCGATAGCAAGGCCTTCAAGGACTGGATTAGAAGCGTTGATAAATATGCAATGCTTGTGGGTATGGCCAGGGATAGTATAAAGTATATTGCTTATAAATCAGCGAAGGGCCCGGTAAGCAACTTTATGAAGCGACACTTTGAAGCTTTTCCCGAACAATCATGGGATGAAATTAAACAGGAATAGAAAATGAGATTTTCAGACATTGTTGACCCGCAATACGCTTTATTGTCTTTGCGGAAAGTCAAACAAAAACCAGGGAAGTCTGTTCAAGTTTTCATTGAAAGATTAATTGATCTTAGTGAGGATTGTTTTGAAGGACAACCCCAAGACTACAAAAACAATTAATTGGTTATTTCACTGACAGACTGGCTTTTGGCTACCTAAAAATGAAAGTAATGAGAGCAGATCCTAAGACTTTGGACGAGGCTGTGGCTATTGCCTCTGCTGAACA